AAAAAAAAAAAAAAAAATTGCGGCCCACTGTACCGAGTATTGGACATTTATCACTAAAGAGAACATTCTGAGGTCAGAAGAGGGACCCAGGCAAAGTTCGGCGTCGAAGTTTTAACCGGACAGGCACGTGATTGCAAACCTCGTCAAGAAATTTCGAAAGACAGGATCAGGCCTGTAGTCACACTATTGAATGAGATTGCAAAAGGTGTTCCGTGTTTAGGGCATGCGCATTGAACACGTCGTAATATAAATGGCCTAAGATGCTGATTTGAATGAGATTTCTATGTCTTATCGTGCGGGTGAAATAAAGCATTAAACTTGATAGTTTTATTTTGGGTCACTCTGTGTATTTGCATCCTCTGTTATAAATATCTAGTAACCTTGAAGAATCACTACTGTGGCTATATTTAAAACGGTATTTTTCTGTTTCATTTTAGGACAGCGTATCGACACCAGAGCCTGACGTTACAGATGACGACCATTTCCCAGGTAAGATGTTGTTAACCGAGTAATAATACACAACTTTCGTCATTGGCCAGTGGAAGGTCACTAAATTCTGATTGGAGTTTGGTTTGTTGGAGGGACACAGTGTAGACAATTTGCTCACGAGCCCTAGGATCCGGCACAGCTCTGAAATAATCTCTAGTTTGAAGATGGCTGTCTTCTGGGTTGTGTGGTGTGGTAGAAGTTTACCATCGTTTCAGAGGTGCTTGCTGCCTCCATCATCAGGGCGATGAGTAACTCTTGGAGATACAAATTTCTTCCCGCGTAAAGTTTTATATATGAATGGGCAATGCTGCAAATTAAACATTTCCTTATTGTCTTCTTTCACTGGTTGGCGAAGATAAATACTTTTCTTTTATGAGCTTGTCTCTTAGGTGACAGATGAAAGAAAAACAAAGAATTCCTCTGAGATTCGAAATCTTGTCACTGTACCAGGATTTACCTCATCTGCTGTCTTGCTTTGCGCAACAGCGTTCGCTGTGTAAAGAGCAAGGTCAGGGCAAATTTAATGAGCTGCAAGAGAGAATTCTCACATCTTGACTTTCAAAACAAGCAGTTACAAGTTTTCTTCTTATTTGAGCAAAAATTATTCCCTTGGAGAATACAGTAGTATTGAACGAGCTTTGCTTTATAGAAATGTCGTCATCAAAACAGCATAGAGTCTCCACGTTAACGAAACAGACGTGTCTTATTCATGACAGGAAACTCTGCTGTAGTTCTGTCTTACTTACGAAATACATAGTTTATAGTTTAAATGCGTCATATTTGTGTTTTAAAATTCAAATATATAATATAATTCAAGTCTATACACAAACTTTAAATTGTTGATGTTAAAATTTAAAATAACGATGAATAGCGCAAAATACAAATATTAATTTTAAATTTTAACATCAACAATTTAAAGTTTGTGTATAGACTTGAATTATATTATATATTTGGACATAGTTTATGTTTATTTATTTATTTATTATGTGGAATAAATCGGACGTGGTCTAATTTGAGGTGCTATCCCGCAATTCGTCTGGAGTAATTGAGGAAAACCACGAAGACGTCGGCCAAAATAGTCGATGCGAGTGACGATACTTGAACTCGGGTCCTCCCAGATACGAAACTGGAATGCTAACCACTCGGTCGTGACGTTAGGCTATTTTGCCCATTTATTTTATGTACAAAGGGTGTACCAACGCACTGAACACGGATCAAGATACAGCGATGTTGCGATGTTGCTTGTTATTCAGTCATCGGAGCCACGAGTGTAAGCGAACCGATGCTGACAATGTAGCTAATGTCTTGAAGCCCATACAGCGAGATTTGATACGTTCCCGGATTACAGACGCCGTGAATGCGTGTATCCTAACAGAAACACGAAGGAATTACATTACAGCGATCACGCTCAGTGCAGTCGAGTGAAAATGATACTTTGGATTGTCTGAACGGAAGCAGAATGACCCGATACCTCCTTGGCAGG